TTTTCTCAGCTCTTGACTCTAATGGGGTAGAGCAAGAGGGCGGCTGGATGATTTAACATATTGGGAACCATAACCTAGGAGCCTTTATATTTTGACCTAATAGGATCCCATTAAGCCTATATGGGCCAAAATGTGGTATCCACTCATTAAGCCCCATACCCTTTTGTTGAAGTCTATGGGCTTTGTCTAAATGAATCACTTGATTTAGCCCACTTATAAAATAGCCCATCAATGCAATTGTTTCACTGAATATATAAGCTCACTTAACAAAGATTAAAACCTAAAAGAACCCCTGTTCAATGCTTCTTGCGCTTGAGGTTTTAGAAGAAGAAATCAAGTATAAAACAAAGATCTAGCGTCAGCTACTCCAATCCAGTGATTAACGCTAGCGACTGTAATCTGTGTTTGAGTTTTCCACATTAAGGTCGGCAGCTGTAAGCAAATAAGCTTGGATGATTCAAACAGTCATAGGTAAATTTTTCATTTTAGATTTTAAGTTTTCTTTTTAATTTTTAACTTTCTAGAAATCAAAATGTCAAACTTTCAAACATTTGAAACTCTGTTCTGTTATTAGAAAACTTTCATTTTCGTTTTGGGTTTTTCAGTAAACTTTTCATTTTCATTTTAGTTTTTAAGTTTTCTTTTTAATTTTTAACTATCTAGAAATCAAAATATCAAACATTTTAGACATTTGAAACTCTGTTATTAGAAAACTTTCATTTTTGTTTTGGGTTTTTGGGTAAATTTTTCTAGAACGACTCTATTTAGACATTCATTCTAAATTTCTAGTATATCTTCTAATATATTTATTTTCAGTCATTTTAATATGTTTTCTAATTTCTTAAATGGCTACAAGTTGTCAACCCTTTTGAAGAGGTAATCTTTTATTTTTATTTTCATCAAATTCTCTTATTTTTGAAGTTCGATTATGAATCTTAATATTTCACCAATTGGTAAATGGCAATTGCTTTCATATTGATAAATGACCATTTCTGTTATGAGTATTATGATTATTGATAATTTTTATTTTTATAATAATATATTTTATTTTCATTAATCTGAATCTCCTAAATCTTAAGATATTTCTGTTTTGATCGGTAAATGTTAAATGGTTTGCTATTTTATGATTTTTTTGCATTATATATATCATTTTAGTTATGATGTCATGAGTTGACTCATTTGACCCGGATGGTCGAACTGATGACCCGCAACCCAGAGACAAAAATGGTTCAAGTTCTGGGTTGATTTTTAAAACGTTGATTTTAAGTACTTATTCAAACAAGTACTTAAAATAAGTGGTGGAATTACACGATAAGTAGAAAATAAACACTATTTCCTATTTGGCAAAAGAACCAAGAAAAAGTTCTTATTTAAGAAATAAGTGCTTACAAAATAAGCAACTTCTAGGTTGCTTATTTTAAGTACTTAAAATTTAAGTGCTTATTTCTTTTTCCTTGGGATGAGTTTGTCCCTAAAAAATTTTGATATGATGAAATGCCCCCAACAAATTGAGAAAACCCTATCATCTTCTCCATTCGTATAAGGTCATTGAGCAACGGTGGGTGTCTGGGGGGGCGACTGGCAATTGGAAAAACGACTTGAAATCTCGAGTATGTTGTTCTTCTTGTGTTTTCCTTTTATCCTCATTCATTTACAACCAGATTTGGATTTTTTTAAAGTTTTTTCATTATTGAAAACTAGATCTGCAGCGTTTTTGCACAATCTAGTTTTTGAACAAAAAACTTCTCAGTTTCTCATTGATAATAACATGTATGACCATCCTAACACTCCTATTTTGATATTAATTGCAAGAGATTTTGGGAGATATTAATTGTATTTGGTTTATGTAGTCATATATAGCACTACAGGTAGATCGATAGAGAGAGAGAGGGCGAGAAAATCCAAAGAGATATAGAAGAATAGAAAAAAGGCAATAGAAAACTTGATATTTTCCTGTCCATGCTTCTTATCTTTGTGGAAGACAATAGAAAAAAAGGCAAAAAAAAAAAAGATGACATTTTCAGCCACCACAAACACATTATAGCAACTTATACGGGCAGGTGGAAATAGCCTGTCAAATCTCTCAGTTGCAACTTCCCTGTTCTCTCCCTCTGTGTCAACCAAAACATGAAAAGCAGAAAAAAAAAAGAAAAAAAAATATGAGCAAATAATAATCAATGACTTAGTAACACATTGATCACATGATATGGTTCGCCAAAAATATATGATTGCATTTCTAATTGGATCGGATTGTACGCACAAGATTATACTGCTTGGTCCTACTGAATGATCTGTGCTATTTTTAAGCTGTACTAGTCCATTGCATCTAATTGATTATGAAAACTGAAATTTCCTCTTCTTTTTAAGAAGCAAAACACATGAAAAGAGCAGCAAGTATGACCTGTAAAGCGAGGCTGCTTTGAGCGGGTTTAGTGCCACTGCTTTTTGCATTTGAATTAGTCATTTCACTCACCTCTCTAATAAAAACAAAAAGAGAAGGCAAATGGGTCAGTCTGTTTAAACTTGGGAACTTAACATCCCACCTCATAGTTAAAAGATTAACTAATCTAAAGTGCATGGTGACCAATATAGTACTCCCCAATCCAAATGGAACCAGTTGGGGGCTGGGCTTAAAATTCATATATAATCTCAAGAAACAACAGAGAAGATTCTCCTTCATCAGCACAGCTGTTTAACTTTTATATAGATCCTCAAATCTGTCTGAGGACTAGTGCGAAAGAATGTTAAGATCATATTATTCACCATTTCTTGCGCCATGAGTCATTTAGCAGCAGTGAATTGGGGAGGGGGGTGGCAGGTAAGATTGTTAAGCCCTTCTTGTGCTATAGGACAGTAGTGAGTTGGTGTTCCAAGGATACTAAAATATGGAAAGTATGAAATAACTCCCTGGAAACAAACAATAAAGACAGAAGGATGGCCAAAAACCTGATAAATTTTGACAAGGTTGAGTAAGTTCATCAAGGCTAGCTTCCTCATCTCAATTCTGTCCTGCAGATAAAGTATCATAGAAATCTGACAATGGATCAATCTTGCAACATGGCATACCCTGCCTCTCTTCTCTCTTTGCAATACTGCATTAAGAACTGCTTCACGCTCTCCATTGTTTGTTTGCTGAAACTGTGTACCATGAGGAGAAAGTATGTCATCAAAGTCATCATTGTTTTGGGTGTTCAAACAACACAGACATTTTGACAATTACTACTGTTACTCTTAGTTAAAATGTTATTATACTCAAATTATTCCTCTCACAAACTTGATGTGCTATTAGAACATTCCTTCTGGATTTTATTTAATTATCATGTTGGATGGAGCCACAGAGAGGTGAGTATGTAAACCATAAAACCAATGACTTGAGCTTGATATAGAGACCTTGGTGTATACTTATTTCATAGATAAAGTGGTGAAGGTTTATGAGAAAGATGAGTAGTAAGTAGCAACACAAGTTCTTTATGGAGCCTTGAAACAGAATGAAAACTATAAAATCCTCACTCAGTCAACAATATTTCATAGACAAGTGTCTTCCAATTGTACTTGTTAATATAATACATGACCACCTGTCCTTCTAAATAATATTTCACTTTTCTTTTGTTTTTTCTTAAAATAGATAAATTATGAGAATATAGATAAATCATGATATCCAAAGAAAAACTTCTTCTGCACATATAAACAAAAAAAAAAAAGAAAAAACATTTAAGAGGCTTTATATTATTTGTAATTTGTAATCAGCTATATATCATTTTGTTTAAAAGAAAGACATCAACCTAAATTAAATATCAAGAAATTAAAAACAACATCAACAAATAAAGCAAAAAGCAAAACTAATTTGTAAAGAAAAGTCAACAATGTTATCTATTATGTATAGCATGTGGCAAAACCCCATTTGTTTTTGTTCAGAAGGGAAGAGGTTCAATATCCAGTCCACCCCTCCCAACACCCCAAATATCAAGGACCAGAATTGTGTAAATGACCTTTTCAGTTTTTATGGTTTAAAATTTTGATAGACTCATTGAAAAACAACTAATTCACTGAATTGGAATTTTTAAAGTTTATGTACTATTTACAGGTCCCTATCCTTGAATTGGAGTTCTTAGCCAATTATCTAGCAGAGCTAACTCTGGTTGAGTATGCATTCTTGAAGTTCCTTCCTTCCCTCATTGCAGCATCTGCTGTATTCCTTGCCAGATGGACATTGGATCAGAAATGTCACCCATGGCTCTGCATTCTTTCTATTCTCTTCCAGATACGAAAATTACAGTTCTAGCACTTCAAGATTTGCAAATCAATACCAAAGGTTGCCTAACCGACCTAATTTTGAATCACAAAAACCAGCAAACGGATCCAATTATGAACATAGCAACCATAATAATAACCATGTATTAGATGGGCTATTTGTGAAATCCAATGAAATTTATCTTCAATAGATTCTCCATGAAAAAATTATTTTTAGCAATTAGATGTCAAGAGGATTACCAAAAAAAATTCTTAGCAAAATCAAAGAATACCCAAAGAAATACAACCATAGACTGAGGATATTGTGCAAAATTAAATTCTGTATAGCAATTTAAAAAAAAAAGCAAAAAACAAAATTAATTTCTAAAAGAAAAGAAAACGTACCTGAATACAAAGATAAAATAACATCACTTCCATATTTATAAGAAAACACCTTAACAGTCATTAATTGTCCATAACAATCAAATGGCAGATTTTCAAAACTTTTCTGAGCATAGCACGACAACTGTGAAATAAAACATGCAGAAATCAAATTAAAGCAACACATAAGTAAACATGCAAAATATGATATATTAGTAGATAATAAGAAAATTTACAAATGAGGGATTAAGGAAATTGAGAGAGGGCAAGTTAGGAATTATAGACATAAAACGATAGAAATCGGTCTAATCGGAGATCCACATGTCTTGGTGTGGCTCCAGTTTGCGGAAAAAAGAAACAGTCAATGCACTCGAACAGGGGGAAGGGCAAAAGGAAAGAAAAAGAACCCAATTCACGACTGAAATCCTGAATTTCTTTGGTGACCTTACCCTTCCATTTTACCTGGCCAAAGCCTATAGCGAGCTGCTAAAGCTCTTGCTCTGACATGCCATGGAGAACGCGAGAATCCAGTTGAGACTGAGAAACGATTATTAACCTGGCAAGCCGGCCAAGGGCTCACAAACCCCTTCTTTTCAGGCGCGTCGTTTTGTAATAGTAGTGATGCATTCATGTCGACAGGTGCTGCTTTCTGAAGCACACGGTGGCAGACATTGCCGGTTGCGGAGGTAGAGCAAATTGCCGACGATCTGCCCCAACTGGAGCAAAGAGCGAGGTGGACGAGAGACAAAGCGATGTTGGTTCCGTAGCAGAAACAGCAGAGAGAGTGACCGAACGCTCCGAGCGTGCCATGGCACAAATTAAATCCGGGAAGAAAGAATTCTGTGGCTGCAAGATTCATGCAACCATCCTGCTTTTTTCACACGCGATGAGCACACGGTGGCAGACATTGCCGGTTGCGGAGGTAGAGCAAATTGCCGACGCTCTGCCCCAACTAGAGCAAAGAGCGAGGTGGACGAGAGACAAAGCGATGTTGGTTCCGTAGCAGAATCGGCAGAGAGAGTAGCCGAACGCTCCGAGCGTGCCGTGGCACAAATTAAATCTGAGAAGAAAGAAGCGATTTTCGCACGGGAAGATAGATTTCACGTATACCTTTTCCTGGGAAGAGAAGCGATTTTCGCACGCGAAAACAAATTTCACGTGAGGATACCTTATACTGCGGGAAGAGAAGGCCACGTCGTCTTGACGAAGGCCCTTCCCGGCTTAGTAATATGAGGTGGTTCAATTGTGGGTAAATGGCAAATTCGAGCCTAGCCGGTTGCCTCCTGGGCCCAATGTTCTGCAAATAAAAATACCGAGGACTGTGTCATGGGTTGGAACAAAGCGACCTGAAAGCCTCCTATGCGGCCCAACCCAGAAGTTGCCATGCGTGAGACTGACCACTGCCTATATGATAAATCATGAATCAGCCTTCAATAGTGGAATTTGAGATTTTGTAACTTTTGGAACTTTGCCCTATAAACATGGTGGATCCCATGAAATGCAGTGATAACTAAACAACTGTTTGGTTCATGGTTGGAATTGGAATTGTTTATTCTCTGCTGCTTGATTCATACAGGAATCAGAATCAGATTCCATAAAATATGAATGATTCCCAATTAGGGTTGGCGTGAGGTAAAGAGAAAGAGGGTTTAGGGGTTTTAAGTCACTTATCTTTTTTATTGTCATTGGAATGAAATTCTCGTTTCCATGGAGGAGGCTGAAAATAACCATTCCTTCAAAGGATAAGTGGACTGCAATCCACCTCAGAAATCTGAATTGCAGCCCCACCCTTAGAAATCTTAGCTCCACCCTAGGGCTAGACTGAACTATAAAATCCCCTTCCTTCAAACGTGGGAATGGGAATTGAAATTCTATTTTGCCCAACCAAACTGCTTAGAATAAGAACGATTCCAATTTTGATTCCAGATCTCTATCTTACTAACCAAATGGAAACAGACCAAAAAAATACAGGATTAATAATAGTAACTAGTAAGCAAAAGACAATGAAATTTATAGAATTCTTCATTTCTTTCCATTCATAGATTCCTCCCCTCATGTGTCTGAACTAGACCTGTTCACAGGCTGGGCTGGGTTGGGCCAGGTTTTGTCTTTACATTAACAGAATATGTTAAAAATCCAAATCCGAGCCTAGCCCGACCATCGGGCCTAAGTCTTGAGCTTGAGCCTAGCTGTCATATAAAGCCTGAAGCCTGGGCCCGAACCTCAACCTGGCCAAAAATTTGGAATTTTTTTTCTTTTTTATTTAATTAAAAACTATTTTATTTATATTAAAAGACCTCAAAACCTAAGAAATAATGAAATACCTCACTAGTCACTATTAAATCAAGTTAGGCTTGGACTCAAGTCCTGGCTCGAAAAAAGGTCGAATCCAATGTTTTAAGCCCAAATCCAAACCTACAAACCTGAAACCCTGTCCAAGCCCGACTTAGACCAAGCCGAGCCGGGCCGTCCCATTGGGCTATCCGGCTCATGAACAGGTCTGGTCCGAAGTGAACTGTAAGGTGTGAATTGCATAAACTGGTTTCTTACTACCATTGAGTTGTTTATATTCATCGCATCAGCCTTCCATGTCCACAGTGCTTTCCCCGCGACGTGGGGAGCCAGTATGGTTCCTCTAGACAGCAGACGCTGACGAACATAGACAGTCAAAATTTTCTGACTAGGAACGGGTTAATATCCGTAAATAATGCGAGAACGAGGGTCACTCTTTTCTGAGGGGGCCGTGAGGTTTCTGGGCTTCTGGGGCATCGACGCGTTCCCACCGGCCTCGCGTTCCTGTACTAATCCATTAATTATTGATAAATAATCAAAATAAAATTTGTCAAATAGTGCAACACAGCCAACGGAGACAGAAGTAAAGAACTAAAGGGAGTTGGCTGCTGCTGCTGCTGCAGGGGTAGGTTCCTTTCCTTCTTTAAACGCCTCGTTTAGCAGCGGATCAATTTGACCAGACGAAGTGTTTAAGGCGTTAACCAAAATCAAAGCTTTCCTGTTACATGGTATAAAAGTAATCAGGAATCGTGTGAGCGGAGTCGGCTTTGGTAAAGCGCGCCATGGACATCTTCAACAAGCTTCGGAACCTGGATGCGTACCCAAAGATCAATGAGGATTTCTACAGCAGAACCCTCTCCGGTGGTGTTATCACGCTAGTCTCCTCTGTTGTCATGCTCTTGCTTTTCATCTCCGAACTCAGTATGCCTTCTCTTTCCTTCTTTCTTCTCCTTTTTCCAACTTAGGGTTCCTATCTTCTTTCAGATCGTTTGGGTTCATTGTTGCTTTCTCTTCAAGGATTATACTTTTTTTTCTCTAGATTCCCAGCTTAGGGTTCATTGCAATTCGTTTTGTTTTGCTTGATCCATATATCTGAACGCTTCACACTGTAATTTTCGTGTTCTCCATTTTGGCTGATTTATTTTTGACTCGAGCAAAGTCGTTTCGAGATTAGTCAACGACCGCTTGACCATATTTTTTCATCATACTTATTTCAATGTTCGCATTGATCCTGAAATCATTATATGGATTCTATTATGCTTTACAGTGGATATGGGCATATGCTTATGGAGGAAAATAAAAAAGAAAACAAAACTAAAAGAAAAAGGGGTGCTTTAGTTGCGGCGTTTAGCTCGGGGAAGTAATTAGAAGGCATGTGGAAATCAGGAAAATGTCATATAGGTTTTATTTTTCAAAATGTTTCTTCATATCCATCTCTTTATTTTGTACCTAAATTCTTGGTATTGATTAATTCAACCTTCAGTAGTACGAAGAAAGCTTCTTTCTATCTATTTCTTAGTGTTTTTTTTTTGACGGAAGACTTTGTTTAATTCTTTGGTTATTGTGAAATTGTTGTTTTTTCAAGGGAATACAGTTAGAAGGGGCAACAGTTGGGAGTTTTCTAATCAACAGTACATAGTTTTCAAGGCCCCAAGGCGAGGCTAGGCGACACCGGGGG